ATTTACATTTTCAGTATGAGCAAATGGGGTTTTAAATACCAGGCAGATTCATTCAGATTCAGAATCTTTTCACTGGATTTGTTGACCATCTCTGTCCTCCTGCTTCAGACGCCTCTCACCTATTGTGCAGCCAACACCTCAGATCTCGAGCGTGTGGTGCAACACGTCAAAGGACTTCACCCAGAAGCCCCTGTGCTTGGCACCGGAGTGTCTATGGGCGGGTGAGTTGGTGTAATCTTTCAAATGTCTTGCAAAAGTTTTTTTTCTCTGCCCTGTTATTAAAATCTTCCTCTTCTCTTTAATTTCCTAAGTTTTTTTCTTTCAACCCCTGAAGCATGTTGTTGTTGAACTACCTGGGCCGTAAGCGCTCGGAGTCGGGGCTGGTGGCGGGCTTCACCGTTTCCGTCCCCTGGGATGCGCATAAATCCTCCATCTCTATGGAACAACCACTCAACTGGCTGCTCTTCAACAAGTACCTCACGTCTGTCGTGTGTCGTCTCATCACCAGGTCAGATCGGTTGCGGTTTTGCAAATTTGGGAATTTATTTTCACCAATCTGCAACTCTGACTCTGTTCTTCCATTTCTCGCAGGCACAGAAAGATTCTGGAGAATGTGGTGGATTTGGACCACGTCCTGAAGGTACGCTCTCCTCTTTACAGTCACCTCTCTGACTGCGTTTACATGCGCACTTAATCCTGGTTTAGAGAAACACGATTTAATATATAGAATACTCCAAAAATTACCAGGTTACTGATACATGTACACATGGTATTCTGGTTTCTGCCCTACTTATAAGGAAATGTTCCTTCTGTTCGTTGTAACTGAACTCCATGATGAAGACCTGTCAGGTCTCCATATCTTCATCCTTTGCATCCTGATTCTGTGCAGTGGCGACAATGGCCAAAGTGGAGGACAGGTTTATTATTTGCTGTCCCTCTTGACTTTCATTACTGACAATAAGATGGTTAAGCCAAATCTGTAACACTATGTTGGCTTTTAATGGCAGGAAACCGGCTACCAGCCAAATTGTCCTCATTTTTAATAGCCATGATGCAGGAATCAAAATTGCCTGTAGGCTGTGTTGTTGAATGTAATCTCTGCCGTGTTTCTCCCCCCTCATCTCTTCCAGTCACAGACGATCCGTGAGTTTGACGAACGCTTCACCTCTTTGCTTTTCGGATATAAATCCTGTGAGGACTATTACCACGACGCCAGCCCAGACAAGAAGCTCCACAACACAGCAGTCCCCATCCTGTGCCTCAATGCCGCTGACGACCCCTTCTCCCCTCAAAGTAGTAAGTGGACGGCGCGAGGAGAAGAGATTTTTACACTTGAACAAATTTAAGTACAGTGCATCGTGCTAATTGCTAGTTTTGATGTCAGATTTTTAAATTTTCTTCCTCACAGCGTTCCCACTGTCGATAGTCCAGGGCCTGCCGAATGTTGCTCTGCTGTTGACGGCTCACGGTGGCCACATCGCCTTCATGGAGGGTTTGTTCCCCCGCGGCGAGAACTACATGGAGAGGCTGTTCGGCCAGTTTGTCCAAGCTGCCTTTGAACACCCGGGGGACATCAACAAAGCTTGTGGCCTGTGATCATTCTCCTCCTGTATGTACTTTGAGCCAGACCGGATTACACAATTACTTTCTACTGCGAAGAATACAAAGTCGGTGGCATGATAGCAGAAGAGGAGCGATTCACAGAAATGCGTTGCTCTGCTGTTCTGCCACAGACAAGTTGCGTCTCCTTCAACTTTACACTGAAAATGACCAACTGTATTGTACAATCATGTGACCTCGATGCAACTAATCTACCTCCTCAAAAATTAGATGTCTCTTCAAGTAACAAAGAAATCTGGTAACAAACTGATAAATTAAGGTTCTTCACACAAACAAAAAGGAATCCATGTTTAGTGATTGGGAAATGTTATTGAAATAGAAATGAATGGAATGTGTAGTAATGAGAGGTGTTGTTCTTTTGCAAGACTTGTTTTTTTGAAGTGTGAGACGGGAGGATTATACGTCTTTCAGGCCTTAGTGCATACTTTACATACACTTCATTCAAGACCACAGCAGAGGTAATACTGTTTGCTGTTGAGTTGCTAGAGCTGTAAGTCTCGACTGGAAAACGAGGAATATATTGCATCTAATGCGACAAACCCAGACAAACTGACTTGAAGTCAGAGCTTTGACACCGACAAAGCCTCACACCTGCATGAGGATGTATCAAAGCTCAACCACACCACAGAGGCACCATGATTTGCTTTTTAACATTGGAAACATGCAACAATGGGGAGAATCAGAGTTGCTCACAGATTATTACAGGCAGCAGTACCAGAGACGTTGGTTAGAATGAAGGATCCAAAACCTAGAAGGGAGAAACACAGTTGAGACTGTAAGAGGAGAAGGAGGTTCAATAGAAACATGGTTTAAGAAGCTAAGAGTAAGAAAAATAGGAAAATAAATCACTATCCCAAGACGCCCCAAACAGTGACAACTTTAAAGCTCCAAAGCCGAGACACGAACTTCCAAGAAGAAAAATCTGAGCAATGTGCTTGACTGACAGGTACAGCAGTCCTGCTCAGCCCTCATTAAAAAGCCTTTTCATTTAAGTGGTTCATATTTTGTCTGATGATAATCCTATAACAAATAAGTTTAGGCGAAGGAGCTTTATTCAGCTGCCAAGTAACTTCTTCACAAATTCTCCTTAACACATTCACTGGCCTGTTCATATAAATGCTCACAAAACACTTAAGTTAATGGTGGCTTCCTTCTAAAATGTATGGATATATTAAATAAATAGCAGCAAAAATTGATTCAGTTGTTATAAATGCAAGAATATAACTGTAGATTCAATAATTAAAGCACACAAGCAGAAGTGTTGGAGGTAAAAACAATTTAAAAAAATAAATAAAAGTGAATAACAGTTGTAGGAGGAATTTTCTTCTATTGCATCTTTGGACTTTTTCTCTGTGGTTCAGTTGAGCTTTGATATGACCTCATCCCAAATACTTGCACAGTAAGTTGCATATTTTATTTTAAATGTCATATAAGCAAAGAATTGTATGTCTTTATGCAGGTATGCTCCCTCGCAATGTAAAGTATGTAGTACAAACTATTACTTCTCTTTGTGGTATCTGAGGGATTTTTTTCCCTCTGTGTGTTAAAATTGCTTTTTCTTTCGTCCTTTTCGCACATTATTGTTTGAAGGAATTAGTTAGAAATGAAAGAATATCACCACTTTCAGTCTGCACGCTCATTATTTGACAAAATTCACAGAAGAGCTGCAGTTATTTAACTCGACTCGAAGTGTTTTTCACTATGACTCATGAACATATGAAGATTGTGGCAGATAATGTTGCTGTTGTGGTTTCACTGAATTTAATTTATTAACTCACCATTATTCCAGCATCACTATTTGCAGATATAAACTATGATCACTTTATTTAACTGCTGTGTATTTCTTGATGTTTTTTTTCTTCTTTCTAACAAAGTCTGTGAACAAAGACTTTTGGACATTATGGGCTATCTGATTGGTTCCTGAATTAGACTTGAATTAAAGAATGATAAATAAACTTTATCTGAATAATGGTTTTCTTTTTGTGCGCTGTACAGTTGGTTTAGATGGTTTGCAAACAGAATTGTGTCTGTTGATCAATGAGCACTATCCCCATAAAAATAAAGAAACAAAAAAATAAAAATACTTGTAAATGCACAAATAAATGTTCGTATTAAATTGAAAAAAAATATTATTGAAACTAAAAAATTCATTCTATTTCCAGTTGAGTACTGAATTTAAATAAAGAAATTGTAAAGAGATCTGTGGCTGTTATTAATAGCAACACTTAAGAATGGGTTCGTTTTAATTATCACCATATTGGTTCTAGTGGAAAAATGTCTTAACACTCAACTTCCCCTTCAGCTCCACCGCTGAAACCAGAGCCCTTTTATCTCGAGCGGTGGGGTCATTAATGTCGTTGATTAACCAGACGGCGTATCAATAATTAACCGTGGGCAATAAAGGCCCACGCCCTCTGTCACAATGCTAACCCTTCAGCCTCATTTAGATTCATGTCATTCAGCCTGGAAAACATCCAGCCGTGTTTAGTCTGTGGGAAAAAAAAAAAACACTTTCCAACTCAGGTAGATGAAATCTGTGAGTCTGTCCTGCTTTGTCTCAGCCCTGATCATTTCCCACAGCTCTACCTGTTGCTTTATTCCAAACCACATCCATAATGGCTTCATTTCACTTCCCCTTTCTATCTTTTTACGTAAGAGATTTACACTGATGACAGATTCACACTGTTTACTTAAGCGCCCCACTTTAACTTGTTACCAGACACACAAATTAGGCCTGTAGCAGCCACAAGTCTTAAATCTGTGTCAGTCGCTGTTGCAGTGACACACAGACTCTAAAATAACTTGTAGAGTTAGAACTATGAAAACGAGAGTTTTTAAAAAACAGATATTGGTCAAAACACATCTAAAGTTGCGCTCCCAAGGCCAAGTGTCCCAGCCATGGGATGCGATGAGCTCCTCTCATCTATGTTCACAGAAATCACTGCTGAATATCACAGAAATCAGTGAAGTGAAAATATAAAAGACTAAATACTCAAACATGAATAATTGTCAATCCACAGTGTCCTGGCTTCAGCTGGTGCAGAACACTGCTGCTCACATTTAAACCACCAAACATTCATGCTCATTTACTCCCAGTTAGATTTAGGATTGATTTTAAGATTCTTTTAATAACTTTTTAAGTTCAGCTCAGTCTGGTGCCCAGTGACATTACACAGCTACTAACTCCCCATGGCCTGAGCTTTAATATAAGATCTTCCAACCAACTCTTATTCGTCAAGGTGGTAACTAAGGATAACAGGCTTTTACCTTTGGGACCCTGAAGCTCTAGAATTCCTTACCTGAGGAGATTAGACTCGTTTTTAAATCATTGCTCAAAAGATATTTATTATCATATCATTATTATAACAAAATCACACTGTAATCATCCACTGTCAGCTGAACTTAATCTATTCCCACCAAACTTCAGCTATTCTCCATCCTCCTCCTTCTCTTCCTCCTCCTCCTCCTGCCTGTGTTCCTCTACCTGGTGTGATGGGAGGAGCCGCGGGTCACAGTTAATGATTCAACACCAGGAGCTGCTGAGACTGACAGTTCGAGAAAGAAGAGGTAAAATTGAGAGTGAGAGAGCACAAAACTGAAAAACATATATGTGAGAGGAGCAGACATGGCTGTGTGAGCTGAGGAAGAGCAGCAGGAGGAGGAGGAGGAGGATAATGCTGGAGATGTGGCTGCGTGTTGGGGTCTGCTCAGGTGTGCTCAGTCTCTAGTCAATCTGGGGGTCAAGCAGGTCGCAGGAGTTGCTTATGTACGAAGCAAAAATACTTCTGTACGACTGAAAGTGGATCTCGAAAGTGAAGTCCAGGGAGATTTTATTTTTTCAGCTCCTGTAATCCATGCGGCTTCGGGCAGGAACTCATCATCTCGGTTGATCACACACAGCCTGCAGGTGAGTCTACTGATTCTTATCAGTGTATTTGGGTGTTGGGTCTTGTAAATGTTTTCTGGCACTTTTGTGTTGAGTCTGTGCTGCAGGTCCAGATGTTGTCATGTGGTGACAGTGCAGCCTTAAACACTTGCAAACAGTGAAATACATATTTCTTTCATGTATGTGGTGTTAAAGTAATTAGTAGTAAAAAAGACGCGGTTCTGCATATGCCTCAAACTCTGACGTGCCATGAATGAATGCACCGCACCAGGCACAGGTTTCTATTACACAGCATCTTATGAGAATCCAGCTGTAGCTACACTTTTCCATGAATTAGTAATGAGGCAGTATAGAGTGTAATGCATGCTGCCTGTATCTGAATAAGCTGCTCGAGCATCATGTTCCTGCTGAGAAAAACAAATCCTCTTTTTTTTATGTCTCTGCTCATTTCTCTTCATCTCATTCTTTCCCCACAAACATACCGGATGATTCTGCTTATCTGAATGTTTACGACTTGCGTTGAGGTAAAAGTGTGACTAAACCACACAGGTATATCAGAAGTATCTCTGTCGTCATTGCATCTCCTAATAAAAGAGTAAAGCAGCTGAGACACAACCAGCAGCTACTTCTGGGTATAAAACCCCTATTTTCTTTCTCCCAGGCTAAAAGTGCAGGGTTAAACTAACAGTGGTTTAAATAGTTGACCAGCAGGAACTAAAGGTTATCATCTCTAGGTGCCCAATTTGTAGATGCAAGTTCCTCGAGAGCGTATAAATTGTGTTTGTGCACTGCTCTTTCTCTGTGTGAGTTGACGACGGGTTAATAAAACACCCAGAGGCACAATTGACTTCCAAGCATGATGGGGCAACCTTTTTTTGTTGCCATTACGTTTCCAGTAAAATTTTAATGGCCATGTGCAATGACCCAGGCTGGTTTTACGCAGTGGACTTTTCTTGATTGCCAATCATAGGTGTAACAGAAATATGATGTCGTAAATGAATTATTTAAACATCGTAAGTTCTTGCCACCATCTGCATAGAGACACAATCTTCTCCACGGGTGGGACAGGAGCCATTTTATATTTGCCCGTCACAATTTCTTGCTCTGCGACTTTATGATCCAACATCATGTCTAATCTCGGAGCTGTTCAATGTTCAGGGTGAGGAGGTGGTAACCGGCGTCACGTGACGAGCACAGTGATCAACGGCAAACAACTTGTACCCTGCAGACTTTGCTGAGATGGATGTTCTGTGAATTAATCGTATAACCAGCGGCCTTGTGTTTGTGTATATTGTGGTGTTTGCCCTGTCAACATGAGGCACAACCATCTCAGCGTTCATGGGAAAATTAAAATGGCGAAGACGCCTCGTTATCTGGGCTTTGACGAGATGTTGGTTGACCTGTTGCACACAGCAGTACTGATGAATCTGTGTCATTTTTTTAGCATGTGCACACACACATTTGCTGTTTGCCGGCTTCTTCTCTCACATTTCTGCAGTAAATTATATAGCGGAGGCGTTTAATGTCACACATTATTGTAGCAGCACACAACCATAAAGAATAAAGTAATGCACATACACACATTCTGCAACAAGGGAGACATTAATGAAAAGTTTTTGACTATTTTGACAGTTTTTGTGTCGTTATCAGTCACTGAAAAGGTAATAGATCTGTAGGAGAAGCTGGGAGGGTGCGACAGCGTTCAGAAAGCGCCCCGTTGACTGTCCATCATTAGTCTGCATTATTCAGCGGGCCTCTTGCTGTGTGCAGGCACAGCAGCAGAGCTCAGTTCCCTGTGAAAAAGGCACCAGTTTAGTGACATTCTGCTTGAATATGACATCTAGGACTTTGTTTGGTTTGTCTCTACACAAAACACTGTTTTGTTTGTCTGTGTCCAGATGCATAGTTTAAACCTTCCTCTTGTGTATGTTTATTTTTACTCTGCGCCCCCATTGCCAGAAGAGGGGTATTGGTTTTTTGCCCGTGTGTGTATGTACAAAATAACTAAATAACAAATTGACAGATTTTTACCAAACTTGGTAGAAATATTGCATAGAAAGGTATTTCTAGATGTTTAAATTTTGGAATTGATCGGTCAAAAATCGGGGTCCAGGTTAACAAAGATAGGGTCCAAAAAGAAAATTTCCAGGATTTGTCCACAAATAATGGAGAGGCAATCTAAAGTTAATATTGTAAGACAGGTTTTCTCTTTGCTTGAACTAACTTACTTTCAAGCTGCAGGTAAACAGGGACAGATTTGTCTGTTTGACTCCATCTATGTTTGACATCCACATCTAACAATGCAGAACTTCTGACTCCTCACAACCAGAGTGGCACATCACATCTTACATCACTCACCAAAAAATGATGCCTTGAAGATATCATTGAAACGACAATGTTGGAATATAAAAAGTCAGGATGGTCTGATTGCGATATTAACAAGATATTTAACTTTTTCTCTCTGTAGCCATGGAGAAGCAACTGGAGGAACTGAAGCAGCAACTGGAAAAACAATGTCTGATCAACCAGGAGCTGCAGAGGCACAATACAGACCTGGGTGAGCACAGACCTAACATGACAGAATAACTGTGGAGGAAGAGCTCAAACAGGCTCAGACCTTTCAGTCTATAGGAGTCACCAGCTGTGATGTAGCAATGTACCATGTGATTCCCACTTGTACCTCAGACCAATGGGTACATAAGTAGTTGCTTGGAACATGGGGAATATAATAGCTCAAGATTTGGCCCATAAAATCTAATCGCAAGCAATTGTACTTAAGTTTTCAAACTAGGTAGACCATTGTTTTTAATTTGTATCACTTATATTGACTAATAATCAACTTTGCCTTTCTCTAATAAACTTACAACTCCTCTTTTTATTTATTTGAACATTGCTTCAACTTACAGCCTTCATCTCCTTCCGATAAATTTTTGGTAGATGACACAAACCACAAAGCTGTATAAATTAAAACATTAATACTCCGAGATTATGTTGATTGTGACATTTGCTTTTACCCTCACAGAAAAGCGACTGCAGGAGAAAGAAAAACTTTTGCAGGAACTGCAGAGTCAATATCACGACTTGGGTAAGAGGCCAATGTGGGAAGCAGGGGCACACACACACACACACACACACACACACACACACACACACACACACACACACACACACACACACACA